CCAAGCGCTGTGCCCTGGCCATCACCAGGGTCCCTCACCGTCTCTGTGTTGCTTCTCTTAGCCAGCCGCCCAGCTGTCCCTTTGCCCCTGCCCAGAGCACTCGGGTCGAGGACTGTGTGCTCAGATGGCGGATGCTCCTTGCTTGCTCTCTGCTCTGGCACGCGCTCTCCCTGACCTGGGGTCTGCCCTTCGCGGCCAGAGCCTGTGCTCTCTTCTCTCAAAGCTCTGTCCCCGTGAGCCCAAGGGTGCTCACCTCACTGAGGTCTGGTGCGCTCCTCCACTCCCCACGGCCGCTCACACGCACCCCGTGCTGCCGCGCTGCCTGGCCTGCGGTCAGGTGTGTGGCCAGCGTGGGCGCGGCCCACCCCACCTCTCCGCACCCTCTTCCTGCAGCACCGCCTGCCTCTCTGGTTGCCCTGTTCTCTCTCACCTTTCTGCTCTGACGCACTAAGACTGTAAGGTCCTTCCACACACTTTAGGACTTTCCTGTCTTAATGTCCTGCACGCATCTGTTTCAAATGCGCGTTCTCCTTTAACGAGGCACCTGCAGAAAAAGCTGTCTGGCCACCCCAACATTGTCCAGTTCTGTTCCGCAGCATCAATAGGAAAGGAGGAGTCAGACACTGGGCAGGCCGAGTTCCTGCTGCTGACAGAGCTCTGCAAAGGTAACGTCCCCCCGGGATGGCCCCTGACACTGCTAGCGGCCCCCGAAAGTGCTGTTGTGGGGGACAGCGGCAGCTGTCTGGGCCCCTTAGGGCACGTGACTGAAGCAAGGCGAGGAGCTCACTGCTCTGGGGGTGGGGGCACTTCGGAGTCCATTGGTGGGGCTGGGGGAGGGGGCACTGCCTCTCGCGGAGTTTCCAGGGTGGAGAGGCCCACGTGAGGGGCCACAGTCCGTGGTGTCTGTGGTGAAACCATGGTAGGCAAGGGAGACAGTGCCTGGCCTCCTGGGCTCACAGTCTCAGTGGGTGACGGGTTCTGGCGTAGCTGTTACAGAGGAAAGGTGTGAGGGCAGGACTTGTCAGGCCTGTCCAGAGGGGCCACCATGTCGTCACAGGGAGCTGCTTCATCAGCCAGAGCCCAGGCGCCTCCCTGGGAGGGGCTGTCATGGAGAAGCTGTGGGCACTGGGTGTAGGCGTCCTTTGGAGAGCAGCAGAAAGCAGGACGTAGCTGGCAGGGGAGGTGAGCTCTCTGGGCAGGTGGCAGCAGCACTGAACCAAGATGAGGGGACAGCTGGCGGGCAGGTCCTCACCTCTGTGAAGGCAAAAGGTGGAAGTGGGCTGTAAAGTGCTGTGACGGGTGCTGTGGGAACCGCCTGTGCCGCTCCTGGGCCTGCGTCCTGTCCCGTCTGTCCCCTCACAGAGCAGGCACGCAGGTGTCAGCTCCGCAGCTCGGGCCTAGGACGCGGCCAATCACGTACCGTGTTCTCTGTCACCGCGCTCGTGGGATGCTCAGCACTGTCCCGTGGACGTGCTCTTCCTCTCCGGAAGGCTTGCCGCGCCCCGCTTGTCGCCCACACGCCCTGCTTGCTCTCCGAGCTCACGGCGTCTGTAGGTCAGAACCTGCAGCTCCTTCCTCAGCGCCCTGGAGGACACGCACCATCTCGACCAGGGGTGTCGGTGCCCGGGAGTGCCGCGCGTCTGGCACGTGAGCCGGGCATCCCTGTGGGAAGGATTAGCGGGGGGCTTGTTGGGTCAGGGCGTGTGGCACTCGGAGGCCCTGCTCTGCACACTTTGGGCGGCAAGATGAGGCCACCCGTGGCTTCCCACGCATCCTGCTGGTGACAGGTGCACCTGTCGGCCATGAATGTGGCCTGCTCGTGGTGCCCAAGGCTCAGATGCTTTTGTATCACTTTAGTTTTTGGTTTTAGAAAGCTGTGTGTTCAGCAGGACTTGTGCAATCCATTTCACAAGTGAGGCCGTGCACTGCAGGAGGTGTCAGGAGTGGGGCCTGGTGTTGGCAGCTCACAGCGCTCGCCCGCGTGGGGCAGTGCCTCCTGGTGACAGGCCACCTTGAGGAATGCTGCCCGGGTGCGGCGTGCCTGAGCTGCTCAGCTGGGCACGGGGCTGCCGGTCACAGGTGGGGAGGGGAGTACTGTGGAGTCTTCGGGAAGAAGGAGGATGTGGGTGCCGGTTCTGCTGAAGGAGGGCCTTGGGGGGCTGCTGGATGCCCGCCCTCAGGAGCCTCCCACCCCCCACCCCTTCCTGGTGGCCCACACAGGCCTTGCTCCCGTCTTGCCCTCCGTGGTGCCCTCTGCAGCCCCTCTGCCACCTACGGAAAATGGTTATTTTTGGAAATAACCATTCTCACTTCAGAGGCCAGTAGCACTGACTTTGTGACCCCCCCTCTGTGCACCAGCTCGTCTGCCCTCCCACAGCCAGCCTGGCCGTCACTTTGTCACCCAGGCCCTCTTGAGGGTCGGGGAAAAGCTTTTGAGGCAGGTGTGGCTGGGAGAGAGGACAGTGGCTGCTCCAGGGGGGTGAGGGTGTGACGGGTGCTGGAGACACGAACGTGGGTCCCCAGCAGAGAGCGTGTCATGGAGGGAGCCTGGGCTGTGTGGGGAGTCCCGGGAGTGGCCCGGGGCCTCTGTGCTGTCACCACGCACTTGTCCCACATGCGGCCTGTGCGTCAGTGTGCAGTGCGTGTTCACTGAGGGCTCGGGCTGGCAGGAGGTGACTGTCGTTCAGGGAAGTGAGCGATTGTAAGAGCTGGTTGCAAAGCTGGGGGTGTTTGTGGTCCCACTTGTAGCTGCCATGTCACCGACACCATGTGGTCAGAGGCCTGTATGAGCATGTGGGCCACGTGGGCGGTGGCTGTCCCTTCCCGTGCCACCTCTCAACCCCTTTCCTGCCACCCGCAGGTCAGCTGTGGGGGCTCTGGTGATGGGAGTTTAATCCTCTCTTAGGGCAGCTGGTGGAGTTTTTAAGGAAAAGTGAATCCCGAGGGCCGCTTTCGTGCGACACTGTCCTGAAGGTTTTCTACCAGACGTGCAGAGCTGTCCAGCACATGCACCGGCAGAAGCCACCCATCATCCACAGAGACCTCAAGGTACCGCCCACCCCACTCCCCGCACCCCTGCCTGGCCACTGGCCACTCCTGCTGGTGCGGCTCCGGCTGCTTTGCCGGAGGCTCTCAGCCCAGTGTGGGGGCTTCGTGACTTGAAGTGATTTCCCAGAAGCTTCCTGTTTGAAGCAGTGAGAGGAACCTCTTTGCATGTCACCGACTGCTGATGCAGACACCTTTCTCCCTGCCGCCTGGTCCTGGGGCTCCCCCCTCTGGTTCCCTTAGCCCCCCAATACTTCTGGGCCGCAGTCCCTTCTTCCACTTCATGGGATGGAGGAAAGTGACTCTTCCTCAGGACGGCTCGGTGCCACTGCGTATCCACTTCCCATCCCTGGGGTGACGCCCCTGCCTGGGTGTGGCCCATGCCTGCCTTTCACCACATGGTTGGCTGTCCTGGGGAGGCAGTGCTGACGCACAGGAGGGGCTCCTGGCCATGTTCCCAGGGTCAGTGCCGCCAAACTCCCACCCCACGGGCTCCCAGGCCTGGAGTGGCCCTTTCTCCTTTTATCAGCCTGCTGGGGAAGGGAGGGCAGGGGACCTTACATGTAGTGATTCTGCTTTTCCCTGGTTATTAATGAAGTTAAATGTTTTTGCTGTTTATAGTCATTAGCATCTTTTTCAATGAGCTTTGTTTTTTTGCCCTTTTTTCTGATTTTTTGTCTGTTTTGTTTTTGATTAATCAGAGCTTTTCTGTATCCCTACAGTAGCCTTTGAGTTATATGTGCTGCGAAGCTCTCCGGTGTATGCCCTAGTTTCTGTTCCCCCATTGTGTCTTTGAAAAGCCCAAGACTTTGGACGTTGTCCGGCTCCCGTGGAGCTTGCGTGCCAGCTCTGCCCACGTCTCAGGCCGGAGCAGCCTCTCATCCCACTTGCCCGTGCAGGTGGTTTCTGTTACAATTTGCAAGTAGACCCCAAACGTTGCGCTGCTGCCCTCGCAGGCTCTTGTGCACACAGCTCTGGAGAAATGAGGCTGTTTCTGACAGAACAAACACCATCACTGCTCAGCAGGATCAAGACACTCCAGTGCTGTCTCACGGCCGGTCCTGGTTTTCCCCAAGTGTGGCCTCTAAACCCCGCTTGTCTGGGACACGGCACCGGCACCTTGTCGTGGGGTGGCCTCATCATTAACTTGAACTTGCGACGAGCCTGGCCTTTCTCTTTTGTCCCCTGAACCCAAGAGGCTGGTTAAGGCGACTAGTTGGCAGGCGCCCTGTTGTGGACACCTGTGGGGTCGGGACCCCGCCTGGGACCCCGCGCCTGCAGAGTTGTGAGGGGTGCTTGGGGAGGGCGCCTGGGCCAGTGGTCCCGTGAGTGTGGAGGTCCCTCTCTACCCCCTGGATAGGCCTCCTCGGTCAACCAGGAGGCTGCTGGGTTCTGGCGCCGTCAGGACTGTTCTGACTCGTGTGTGTGTGTGTGTGTG